GAAGATTGCTAGACTCAGACACAGAATCACTAGCTGCGAACTTCTATCAGAAAAGCTACGCATTGAGACATGAAGTCTTTGCTAAGGCCATAAAAAAGATACAACGAAACTGCAAATAAAATGTCTCTCTGCAAAATCAGTCAAAAATAAAGTTCGTAAAGGAAGGCAATATTGCGAGAGCTGCTCTTATAAAAACAAAATTGTTGTTTGACGCTTTGACTGACTGAAACATCACGGTAGATTCGCCTTTACAGATGGGATTATGTTAACCGATCGGCGGCTTTGATCTTGTGAGCTGGGAATTTAATAAATAAGAAACGTTTACATTTGAGGAGAATATTGACTGCGTACATGAACATGGGCTAAAAATCACGAAGAACCGCTTGAACAATGTAGAATAAATAGCTGAATGAGCAAACTATATCGAAGTTTCGAGCAAAGTTTTTGTTGCCATCTCGATCTTTGCAGAACTGACACAATAGGATTATATCTATCTATATATCTATCTCCGTTCATCTGAGCACTTGAGAAATCTTAATAAAGAAAACGTGCTCTAAATTGTTCAATAAATCATTAACTTCTATATCTGTTTTTTATATGAATGATTCATGTCATGTAAATTGAACTGCACCACATACTTGATATTAAAATAACTGATCCGACGTGCAACTTTCGGATAATAACTGTGACATTCCTGTATTTATTGAACAATTTAGTTCATGCCACATTGACTGAAAAACCTACCAGTTTAACAGAATTCTCCTATTACCATATTAGTACAAAAACGCACAATCTTAAAATTTAAAAATTCAACCTCAGCGTTGCGACCTCACGCTCCCAAAAAAATTATTGCAGTTGGCAGTAGCACATTTCTAAAAACATTTTTCGGATTACATCTATATTTTCGTTGTTCTGTTATTACCGGGAATTAAAAAACAAAAAACAAATCTATTTCCATACCTGAAGATGTCTGTAGGAACAGACGAAAGCTTGTAAAAAACAAAAAAAAAAGACCTTATGCAACTGGAATTTATAAACAGGGATCATAACATTCATATACATGTTCGGGGTTAATGTACTTCATTAAATTTGTTTGCGAAGATGTATTCTCACCATTTGAATCATTAACTTCTATATCTGTTTTTTGTATGAATGATTCATATATATATATATATATATATATATATATATATGTATGTATATATGTATATATCTTACTACGTTAATAAAACACCGATTAAAATTAAAATAAAAAAATAAATATGTAAGTTAAGAAATAAAAATAAATATTAAATAAAAAATAAATAAAAACAAGCAAAATAATTTAACCCAAATAAATAAACAAATAAACGACTTCCGGCAAAATAACTGCCAAAATAGACTACCCACAATGCACCACTGACCCGTATCTATAAATAGCCGAGAAAAAAAAACAGCACTCGTGGTCTGACGATTGCGCCTAGCATGAAACAGCCTGTTGCCTCTAAGTGTTGACTTCAATGTTCACTTTTATATTTACACACGCTCTATCACTGATATTGAACACTTTTCCTATAAATATAGTACACCTTAAGATTATATTTATTCATATATATATATATATATATATATATATATATATATATATATATATATATATATGAAAGGCTCATCCTTGAGCCTTTTATATTATATTCTTACTCTGTCCTGGACATTGAGTTCTACCTGGATTCTATCCTCTTGGGAAATTATATATATATATATATATATATATATTGACCACTAATATATATATATATATATATATATATATATATATATATATATATATATATATATATATATATATATGTGTGTGAGGTGATAAAATTGCTTTTTGAGATAATGATGAATTGGGGAGGCAGTATTTATGTTATAGTTGAATAAAGATTAATTTCCTTGTTATTTTCAAGCCTGACCAATGCCCAAAATCTTTCTATTATCCTTTTGTGTGTACGTACACCTGCGTACACACATGCATAAATAGAGTGTGAGAGGGGAGAGGGGAGAGGAGAGTGTGAGGTATCGATTGCAATTGCTCTGCTCTGGTTAGAATTTTTTTTTTTGCTATTTCAATCCCGAGTGAATAGTGAGTTCGATCCTCATTCGGCGCTCCATACTTTCGTCCTTGTGCCACACCTAATCAACGCTTAGTAAATCTTTTTATATGTGAATCCATTATGTTATTGATCCTTTCACATACTGATAATAATAGTGTGTATGTATTCGGTGTGATTTTGTTGTATATTTATGAAGCTACATGTTTGTATTTGCATATGGTCATTTCCTTTCTGACCACCTTATTTCCTCTTTCCTCTGAGGACACCCTGCGAAATGCTCCATCCAGGCCAACACAAGCGCAATTCGAACAGCAGTAGAGACAGAAAGTTGCCCGCACTAATGGTTGGATTATAGCAGCCCTAACATTATTCGTCAGTCTAGCAGTCACATGCTTTACTAGTAAGCTTAGTAGCAACACTGA